TTTTTTTTTTTTTTCAGCAATGCCTGATGCAGCTACTTAGTAACAATTATGGGTGGAGGGGCTTGGGGGGGGGGAAGCAGGTGGATGAGTAGGAGTGAGGCACAGAAACAGGAACAGCACATAGCCCGTCAAAGGTCCCTCTGTCCTGCCTCAGTGGCTTGATCCTTCATGGGTTGCCTTTCTCTTTATGCTGAATCACGCCCTTCTGAATCAGATCGGGGATTTCCACTGCCAGCCATGGACCCAGCTGCAACACAAGGGAGACCCTGTGAGATTACTACCACCGAGTCAGTGCCTCTTGTCCCATCAGAAGCTCCTTCCTAGACAGATTTTTATGAGCGTGCCCACGGAAAACACTGTTATTCCCTGTTTACTCTCAGTTACTTTTCTTACATTGCTCAGTGCCTAATTTCCTCTCCCTCCCCTAATATGCCAAATATCCCAAACTTACCCCCAGAGCCATGAGATGAGCTAGTCCAAACTTGGGCACGTTCCTGGCCCACAAAGGCTTAAAGTGATCAGTCAGGCATATTTTGCCACCCCTATGAGAGGGACAGGAGGAAGAAGGTGTTGACATGCGAGGTTTACCATAAAGCATAGCAGCCTCTTGGAAGCACAAGATGATAGCCAGTGATCAGAATTAGGCCCAAGGTTAGCGGAGTACTTTGCCCAGGTGCGGTAGAGGGGAGCCTGGAGGCCTTCTAGGCGCTAGGACAATTGTTGTCTCCCAGAGGTCTTCCCTAAGGCCTCTTAGACCTTTTCCCATCTCCTTTTGAGTCCTACCTGTACATCTTTGCTGTTTTTCCATCCAGTTCAGGGACTGCAATTTCTGGAGCAGTAGTGGGGTATGTGATAGGAATCTGGAGGAAATATAAGGCCTTAATGACACAAGCATCGGGATAGAAAGGAACTAATCCAATCACACGTATCTCTTGGTTGAACTGAAATGTGCGACAAACCCCCCAAGCAGCATGCCGACGCAGGGATGCTGGACATGGAGAGGAGTAGCTGTCCTCTATGCTTGCTCCAATCCTTAGCGTTTCCCTCCCATTTTGAAAGTTTTCTCTGGTTCCTCCAAGAAAGGTTAGCTTGTTAACAGCCACCTAATCCCTCCCCTTCCACTAACTTCCATATTTCCCATTCCATCAGACTCACGTCAAACTCAATGTCAAACTCATATTTGAGCAGGTCATGGATGTACCAGCATTTTCCAAACCACCTGTAACAAAGACCAAACCTCAGTCCAATCTGCCCATTCTTCTCATGCTCAAATAACATCTTCTTGGCTTAGGTGATCAGCCTGGGAGACTCATGGGATGGGAACTGGGGCACTCTGGACTGTGGGCGGGAGACAGCTAACAGGAGGCAGGGAAGGCCTGGCAGTGGGCTTTGGGACATTAAAGTGCTCAAGCCATGTAAGATTCCCACTCCCCCAAACGACCAAGAGGGTCTGCCTACCGAGTCCCTTCCTTGTTGGACTCCAGTCGGAACCAATCATTGTCGGCATTCTTGTTGTTCTCCACGTACTAAAAGCAGAGAGTGAGGTCTTTGAGGAGGGAGTTGAGGCCAAGGGCGGTCCTCTTCCCTCAACAGAAAAGTGTGTGGTTACTTTCTTAGTGTGTACCCAACTTTTTTTTTTTTTAAAGCTCATTTATTTTGAGAGAGCATGCACACAAGTGGGGGAGGAGGAGAGATAAAGGCAGAGAGAGAGAGAGAGAGAGAGAGAAAATCCCAAGCAGGCTCCTCGCCAACAGCGCAGAGCCTGACTCGGACTGCATCCCATGAATCATGAGATCGTGACCTGAGTCAGAAGCTTAACCAACTGAACCACCCAGGTGCCCCTGTAAGTTGAAATGTTTACTTTCCCTTCACAGACACCTCAAACTCGGCATTTCCCCCTGGTCCTTCAGGCCATTTCTTCACTGCACCAATTTCGATGACCGCATTTACTCAGTCATGCAAACCAAACCCTGGGAATCATCCTTGACCTTCTCTCTCCTCTCCTCTCCCCAGACCTTCACGATGTCCTGCTGATTTTACCCTTTGAAGGTTCTTCAAATCTACCTCTTCTCTCTATCCTAACTATACCTATCCAGCTTAGATCATCACCTTTCTTTCGCCTGGATTAATGACAGCCTCCTAAATTTGCTTCCTCCCTTCAATCTCATCTCTTTTAATTCCATTTTCCTCTCCACTGCCATTGTGATTGACCTAACCCCAATCTGACCATGCCATCCCTCAGCTTAAAATACTGTAAAGGTATCCCAGTGCCTACAACAGAAATTTCAAGAGCTCAAGCCGATCTCTCAAGCCTTGTCTACCATTCCCCGCCATAAGCTTGATGCTTTAGCAACTCTGAACTGCTTCCATTTCTGTTTCTTCATAGGCATCGTGCCCTTTCTAGCTTCTATGCTTTTGCTCATGCTGTTTCTTTTCCCGTGAACATCTTTCTCTTATCCTCATGTTGATCAGATTAACTTATGTTTACCCTTTCAGGCTCAGCTCAAGCACTGCCTCTTCGAGGAGAAGCCCTCCCGGACAAGACCCAAGCTGGATTAGGTATCTCACCTTCTGCTCTCAAAACATCCTAGCAATCTTTCCCTCCCCCTCTCCCGCCCCTTAACGAATTGGAATGATTTGTTTCTATCCATCTCAGCAGGCTCCAGCTTATTCGGCTTTGGATCCCGTTCCTAGGTGCTAGGTTACAATAAATGTGGTGGGGTTTTGTTTGTTTGTTTGTTTGTTTGTTTGTTTTTTAGCGAATAACGTGCTGCTGCCCTTTGAAACAGAGGCCACGGCAAGGAAGACAAACTTTCTTCCTTTTCCACAGAAGGGAGATGAGCCGGGAAGATAGCTCATTCCTGACTGTGAGCTTCACTCCTCAACTCTTGGCAACTAACGCCTGAATTTTCAGCCTTAGCCTGTGCCTCCCTCAGGAAGAGTGAAGGAAGGAGGAGAGCGATGAGCCAGGGACTTGGAGCTCCAGGAATCCCTTTTGACTGCCTCCCCTCCATCCAGGAGGGACACGTCACCTTCCGGGGAGGCGTATCCCTAAGACAACTGCTGCTTTGGCCCCGCCTGGGCTCCCAAGCTGAGTTTCCTTTGCCCCCTCCCCACCATACCCTCCTAAGCCCCCCCAGCCCCACAATCGTCCAGTTTCTCTGAATTTGGGACTTAAACTTTATAACCGGAAGCGGCTTCCACACGGAGCGTATTCCCAAGGACACCCGATTACCCGCAACCTTTCGGCGACGCGGTCGGCCGCAGAAGCACAACTAACCCGGATAAGAGACTGATATTCCTCTTTGAGTCGCTGCACCCACAACTCACGATCTCGAGGTCCGGCGTTAGTCTTCAGCACCGGGATCTCAGACACCACACGCCGGGTAGCCTCGTCCGCCATCTTGGACGAGGGCGCCAGAGAAACGCGGAAGTGGTACTGCCTGCAGTTTACACTCAGGGGGCCGCCATCTTTACTGTGGGAAGATGGGCTATTGGGCTGCCTTCGGACTTCTTTGAGTGCGGTCTTTATTTTCTTGTAACGAAGACAAATTTGTCACCTGGTCACTTGCTTGTGGGTGCAACGGAAAAAAGAGAACGTAACGGATTGCTTCTTAATATGGTACCTATTATTTAAAAAACCCGCAGATTGCTCAAAGGGTGACTTCCGCTCATGCTCAGAGAAGGAGTTTCGGAAAACTCGGCCGCCTTCCCAAACTTGGGAGAGTTGTTAGAATTTAAGGCTGGTGTAGGCACTGTGCGGGGCACTGTCTTCCTGAAACGCGCTGTTCACGTGTTTGGATAAGCTTCCTTAGCTTCCATGTAGTTCGGTTCAGGTAGCAGGGGCAAAGCAGTCATCCAACAGAAGGATATTGAACTCGTGATAATGATTGGAAACCACGGGGAATCAAAGTATACACACCCTCGGTCCTGAAGAATTAACACAATCGAATTAGAGAATTCTTAATAAGTGCCCAAGCAGTTTAAAGATCGCCGGAAAACTTGCCTTAGTCTAGCCTAGACATTTTTTGATCTGGATTTAAATCACCCAGGAAGGATTCTGGTGCATGGCACACAGTAGGTATCTGGTCATACTTTTGCAGAATTTTGTATCTTCCTGTTGGCTTTTCAACCCAAACACAATTTTGGCTTTAATTTACATATCATGTTTACTCCCTTAATCAGCCTGTGGCAGTAATTTTGAATCAGATTCGTCAAATTGTATAGTCCATTTACAAAGCTATATCTTAATTATAAGCATGCTATATCTTCATTTCTTTCTTTTTTTTTTTTTATTTTTGGGACAGAGAGAGACAGAGCATGAACGGGGGAGGGGCAGAGAGAGAGGGAGACACAGAATCGGAAACAGGCTCCAGGCTCTGAGCCATCAGCCCAGAGCCTGACGCGGGGCTCGAACTCACGGACCGCGAGATCGTGACCTGGCTGAAGTCGGACGCTTAACCGACTGCGCCACCCAGGCGCCCCTATATCTTCATTTCTAATGGCTGTAACTTCCAGTACAATGTTGAATAAAAGTTTTGAGGGCATTCATCCCTGTCTTGTGATTTTAGGAGGAAAAGCATTGGCTTTTTTCATTATGATGTTAGCTGTAAGCTCTTCCTAGATGGCCCTTTATCAGGTTAAGAAAGTTCCCTTCTATTGTGGTGTTGAGGGTTTTTTATCATGAATGGATGTTGGATTTTTTCCAAATGCCTTTTTTGTATGTGTTCATTAGGATGATAATGTGGTTTTTGTCTTTTTTTAGCATGCCATATATTTCTTTCTTTTTAAAAGAAAAACATTACATATTGGATAAAGCTAAGGCAAAGCCTTGCAATACCTTACTAGCAACCTCTCTTCTCTGGGAAGTAAAGATTTATTCCCTTTTGGGTGTAGGCACTGTGGAGTGGTACAGATTACAGAGATTAGGAATGAGTCTTTGCAATTTAATTGTCATATGACTTTGGTGATGGGGTGAGGGGACGATGGGGAAATGTAGGTTAAATGGTGCAAACTTTCTAATAAAAGGAATAAATTCCAAGGATCTAATGTACAGCATGATAACTATAGTTGATGATATGGTATCGTATATTTATTTGAAAGTTGTTGAGAGTAGATCTTAAGCATTCCCACTACACACACATACACATATACACACGCACACGCACAAAGAATTAACTATGTGAGTCAACTATGTGAAGCATGTGTTCATTATCTTGATCTTGATAATCATTCCACAATGTATATGTATTTATAATCATCATGTGTATATGTTTATGATAGATATACATGCATGTATATCAAATCATCACTTTAAATATATACAAAAATATTTGTTAGTTACTCCTCAATACAGTTGGGGGAAAAAGATTTTGGAGAGTAATTGTGCAAACAGTATTTTCTCACGTGCAAAAGGAGGATAGTAGGGTGCCTGGATGGCTCAGTTTAACCTGCAACTCTTGATTTCAGCTCAGGTCACAACCTTGCAGTTTGTGAGATTGAGCCCTGCATCCCAGCTCCTGCTGAGAGAAGCCTGCTTGGGATTCTCTCTTTCCTCTCTCTGCCCCATTCTCAGTCTCTCAAACAAATAAACTGAAAAAAAAAAAGTTTTATTGGTTGTTGTTGTTGTTTTTACAGTTCTGTTGCTATGTTTTATTAAGTGTCTATTTATTTTTGAGAGAGAGAGAGAGAGGGAGAAAAAAACACACACAAGCAGGGGAGGGGCAGAGAGAGAGACACAGAATTTGAAGCAGAGCCCGACAAGGGGCTCAAACGCATGAACTGTGAGATCATGACTTGAGCCACAGTCAGATGCTTAACCAACTGAGCCATCCAGGTGCCCCTGAAGAAAAAATGTTTTAAAAGGAGGATAGTAATGCTTATAGGGTTGTGACTATAAATGCAATGTCTCTTTGTTCATTCATTCATTCATTCATTCATTCACATAATAGGCTTTCAGGATGAAATTCAGATTAAATATATAGCAGTAATTTTCAAACCTTCTGTAGTAGCAGAGCCAAATTTACAAACAAAATCTTAAGTTGGAATCTCAAAATACAAAAACGATCAATGCAGACCTGCCCTCTCTCAACTGCAGCCAGACCTCTAGTCCTTAGAATACTTCCCCTATGTTAAGGACTCATCACACTTTGTTAATTGTTTAATTGTCTTCAAAGACTGGAAGTTCAAGGTAGGGACTGTGTGTCTATCTGGTTCGTTGCTGTATTTCTAAAATGTAATAATGTACTGTAGCGCCTGTCACAAAGTAGGTGCTCAATCAGTATTTTTAAAAATAAATGAAAATCTGGGACATCTGGCTGGCTAAGTCAGAAGAGCATGTGACTCTTGATCTTGGGGTTATAAGTTTGAGTCCCATGTTGGGTGTAGAGATTTCTTAATAAATAAATATTTTTTTTTTAATTTTTTTTTTCAACGTTTATTTATTTTTGGGACAGAGAGAGACAGAGCATGAACGGGGGAGGGGCAGAGAGAGAGGGAGACACAGAATCGGAAACAGGCTCCAGGCTC